AACCACACAAATAAGGAGTGACATGAGACTGTATTTCCATTAGTCTATCACCACACATCTCCTTAGGAAATAACTCAGATGGTTTGCCTCTCACTGTCAGTATTTTTCTACCCTGCATGAATTTAGAACCAATTCAGGTTTTATTATCTGTGGGAATGCTGAGTGAAGGAACAGCAAAAGTGCCAATGCAAAGGCATTTTCTACCTTGAAGCGCCTCTGAAAATTCTAAAAATCTCTGGAAATTGGTGCATGCAGGCAGAAAATAATGTACATCTCCCCAACCAGCCCTCAAAAAATCCTAAAAAAAAAAAAGAAAAAAAAAAAAACCAAACCGAACTTTGGTCATTCACTCTCATCAGCGTTCCCCAGAAGCATTAATGCGAGCTGACAGCCACTGTTTTTGCTTTATTATCTCCCACTTCCTAGAAAGTGGTATAGATGACAGGGAGGGTCACATTGGCAAACAGCTATCAGAACACGCTGCTCATCCCGGAGCGGCTCTTTCCTTCAAAGTCCAGGATTCCCGCAATTCTCTTTTCCATCCCCCCGCCCCCATTCACGGCACGGGTTTGGGACGATGCCACTCCGCGGCTGCAGCGTGGCGCTTCCAGAGGCAGAGCCTGACCTTGGCCCGCACCCGCAGGCGTGGGGAGCCCGGGCATTCCCGGCCGGGGCACACCGCACTCCGGCCGCCGGGGCCCGCCCGCTGCCCCGGCACGCCAGGAGCGGCCTCACGCCCTTCAGGCCATGCGGACAACCGCGCGGCCCAAGAAAACGGGCCCCGAGCGAGCAACAAAAGCGCCGCGGGGCCGCGGGGGCTCCGGCTCCCCGGGCCGCCGCCTCCGCCCGCTCCCCAGCCGCGAACAAAGCGCGGCCGCACGGCCCCTGCCCGCCCTACCTGGTGCCTCTGGGCGCGGACGGCGCTGAACATATTGGGAGCCTCCAGAATGCGGGGGAAGAAGACTCGCAGGCGCAGCCCCGGCTGGCCGGGAAGGAGCAGCGGAGGAAGAGAGGGAGCGGAGAGCGGAGGGCGCGGCGCTGCCGAGGGAAGGCGGGAGCGGAGTGGAGAAGCGCGGCCACGGAGCTGCGGGCACACGCACGGCGCTGCGTCCGAACCCTCCGCCTCCGCGGGGAGGGGAGGAGGCGGGAGGAGAGCGGGGACGGGAGGAGGCGGCGCTGGGCGGCCGCGATCTGCTCCGCTCGGCCACGAAACGAGTCCGGCCGCCCCGCCCGCCGCGGTGCCTCCGCCTCGGGCTCGGCGGGAAGAGGCGCCGTGCCCCTCGGCGCTGAGGTGGAGGAGGCGGTGGGTCTGGCACCGCCGTGTCGGTCACGGCACTCAGCCGCGAGCACAACTGGCTCAGTGACCTTTCTTTTTCGGACCCATGACACCCCTTCAGCCACGAGATCCGCCCGGCCGTGACACTCTCTCAGCCGTGACTCCTCCTTAGCCATGTCAGCACCTCAGCTACAGGTTTCCCTCGGTTATTACTCCCCCTCAGCCACGACTGTCCCTCACCCGTTTGCCCCCTCAGCCATTGCTCCCCTTCAGCCATGGCTCCCCCTCAGCCAAGGCTCCCTCCTGCGTCATGAACCCCCTCAGCCATAGCACTCTCTCATCAATCTGGGCTGTAGTTCAAGGTATCATATCTGTTTGACCAAAAAATACCGTGTTTAATGTTGGGAACTCTCCCTGGGAGCTTGTTCTCTGTGTGAGACCCCTGACAGCTCCATCTCACCTCACCCCATCACCCTAGAGTCACTCTGGGAACAGCATTTTCCAGATGAACAGCATTTTCAACAGCTGGATGAGTAATTCACCCATGCACTCTTCAGGATAAATTCTGTCTTTCCAGGGAAATTAATTTTTAAACATCCCTGCTGATAAACGAGGGGTATTTGAAGCCCTGTCTGTTCGTTATGTGTTTGCATGCAAACTCCTGATTCACGGCTGGGCCTGAGAGCTGCTGCAAGATCATCATAAATAATCCATGGGCCGGGTAAAGTCTGAGGATCCATGTTTGCTTCCTGATTTAAAGTGCCAAGGTCACCTGGAAGGCAGCGTGCACTTCCCTGTCTGAGTGCTTCCTCCGGATTCAAGAGGCCGTCTTGGTCAGCAAACAGGAAACCTGTAGATTACATTAGATACACCTTCAGTGTCTCAGCTGTGCAACGTATGTGATATTTTGCCATTTATTATAAAATTTCTCCAACACTCTTCAAAAATCTCAGTGGAGAAGCATGTTTCAAAACACTAAAGTTGAGCCATTCTGAGTTTTCATGCATAAAGTGCTTTAAAATACTGAAAATAATGATCTTGTCTCATCAGAAGCAGGCAGAGTCATTAAGCTGTAGGTATATTCCTCACCTGCACATATATCTCAGCTGCAGCTGAGCCCTCTCCAGCTACTCACCTTGCCTGCAGCAAATTGCAATCCCAACTTCCCACCTCTCTTGAGACGTTCTTACTGCCTCTTTTCAGCTTTTAAATCACCAGCCACACCTCAGGGCTGCCTTCCCACTCCCTGCTTTCTTTTTGAATGAAGTTTCTTATCAGGGCTGTGTTAATCAAAGCTGGGAGGGAGAAGGAGCTAAAGGAATGATGATCAAATAGAATGGTGCTGGGATGTTACTTAATTAAGTAAATCTCAAGATTACGCAAGCTGCTCTTCCAGTTTTCTTAGGGATGGAGATGCCTTTATGAATCACCATCAATTTTCACTGTCAGCCACCACATGTGATGTCAGAGAGCAGGAGCAGCAGCTTCCCTACAGCACAGTTAGCAGATGAGTGTTCCCAGTTCTTTTCCCACGGACCCCCTGCAGAACAGGGCTAGGCCAGAAGCTCAGCTCTCCTTTGGCCCAGCTGTGTTCTGATCACCCAAACTCACTCCCACTGAAAAAAAGGGTTTCTTCCCTCTGCTCCTTGCTGTGCAATCAACATGAAATTATTTTAAATCATTAAAACACCCTTACTCTGGATGAAGTCCTATGCTGATGGAAGGTGCTTCTGTGACATGCAAATACCTTCATTTCAAATGGCTAGAAACTTTGTAAAACTTCCCAATGCAACTTGTGCTAAACCTTAATTGATTTGTAAAGAAGAATGCATTATGGAAAAGGACTAGTGGATTGAGTTGATACCAAGTGATGAGTTACTGGGAGCTGAATCAGAACTAATTGTTATGCGTGTGGAGGTTCTGGATGTTCTGCATGCCTGTTGTCTCCTGCCATGGAAAATACAGTCTAATGCCTGGAAAGGCCTCTTGCTTGTCATCCAAATGGTGTGTTCCCCCTAAGTCAGGTGCTTGTAGGTGTTCCTGGTGTGGCTCTTCTGCTGGCTTCCACCATGTGTCATACAAAGATCTGATGTCTCTGGCTATACAAAGGCTTAATGTTATAACATCAAACTCCGCTTCCTGTAGAGCTTTGTCATTAAAACCACCTGAGAGGGGAAAAATACTGTGTTTGGTTAGAGCAAAATATGTGGCTTGGATTGCTGCACTAAAAATGGAGGAAATATAGAAAAAATGTCACTCTTAGAGGTGAGAATAAGGCCTTTTTTTAATTCTTCATAAGCTGCTCTATAAAATGTGTTTAATTTCATAGTCACATAGTGTTTCTCTGTGGACACAGACTAGCACAGCTCAGTGCAGTGCAGCACCACCAGCCAGAGAATCCAGTCCCTGCTCTTAGTTTAAATAGAAAATTGTTTTTATGAATGAACAGAATGTTTTGTGAAACCAAATACTATTTAGTTCAATATCCTTTATCATGTATATATTTAAAATATACATAGAGAGATATATATTACAGTTGAAGTTTGTTTGTGTTCTGTGTAATTATAACTTACACCAATCAGCTCATTCCATAACTTTTCCTCCCAGCACTTAGAAAGGTTTTTGATAATTCGTTCTGGTTGCAGAAGTACTTGTGAAGAACACGTTTTGTCAGTGCCTTGGCTCTTAGCAGTGACATTTTAATGGTGTTTGGGCTGGGTTGGGATTAATGGTCCATGTTGGACTCTTCCCTGTACATTCTGGCACATCATTTGCCATCTGGCTGGCTGATAAGAGCTACTCTGAGCAGGGCAGTTCATCTCCTTTCCTTCTCTGTGGCAAAGCAGTGATAATCTTGGATAAATTCTTTACATAGGAGCAAAGAATGTAGGACATTTATAAGCACTAGGAAGGAGTATTAAAAGACACAGGTTTAGTAGCCATGGCCTTAGATTTTAATGACAGGTTCTCTATCAAATCTCTGTTTCTTGAACAATGTAAACAACTTCCCTCCTTCATTTCAGGAGACACCATTCTTCCACCACTGTCACCTTCCTTGATTTGTGTTGGACGGAAAGCCAGAGACTGTCTGCCATACCAAGGCTATAAATTATGTCTTATTTCCATTAAGCAAACAGAAGTCTTCTTAATTAATTCCATTGGGTGAAGTCCATGAGAAGTGTTCAGAGGATTCTGATAGAGCCACTAGTTAAGGTCATTCAAAAAACCCTTCTTCTGACTACATGCCCTTGAAGGATCAATCTTTTCATCTCAAAGGCAGCTTTTGGGATGAAGCCTCATGGGAACTCCCAGCTGCAGATATATCTTGCACAGGGAAAACAGTTAACAATTTTAGAAAAAAGTACAGCTTTCCTAACTCTTTCAAGACAGTTCTCCCCAGGCAACTCTCAGCAGATCCATTCTGGGCAGGGAGATATTACTTTTATTTATATTAAAAGTTATTTTTCCTTGGCTTGGGACAGTATTTAACCCAGATGTAACATCAGTTCAGAAGTAGGGATGTGTTCACAAAGCAGTATCTATCCTGTCGTCATTCTTGAAGCAAACAAATCCAAAGCTGATATTCAGATCTGATTCCAAATGTTTGCAGTGACACATTTGTGACTGCCCCATCTGTGGAAGTGTCCAAGGCCAGACTGGACAGGGCTTGGAGCAACCTGGGATAGTGGAAGGGGTTGGAGCAAGATGAGTTTCCCTTCCAACCCAAACTGTTCTGGGATTCTATGATTTTTAGGAGAGTGGGCTAAAGTCCGATCCTTTTAACTTTGCATGTATGCTCAAGAGCTCCTGATCAGGGATAATCCTTTAAAAAATTCTCTAGTTTGTGGCTTTCCTATAGAACTTGAAATTTTGTTATTGTTTCCTTAGGACTGGAAACCTAGTTAAAATTAAAAGCTTTTTGGCTCTATTAATTTATGGTTGCTTGGCGGCAATATTTGCAAATATATTCTAGTTGTACATTACTAAAACACTGACTCGTTTCATACACCTGTATGTCTTTCTTGCTTCCATAAGGACAATAGTTTCTTTGGCTCAAACATCCTGTTCAGAGGTTTACAATAAAACACTTTGCACTTGAATTGTTTTCCTTCCTGACCCCTCAGCTTTCTGCCAGCTTCTGACTGTGCATGCAAGTAAGAGCTTTGTACTATTTGTCCTTGGGGCTGCATTCACTAAGTGCTCACTGGCTGTACTGGAGCCCGGTAGCTCCCAGTTTGCTTTTTCTTCTTTTTAATTTTCTCCCTTTGAAGCTGCATCATTACTTTCACTTAGGGTCCTAGTGAAAAATCAGAATGTTAATTAAGAATGGTAACAGTGGGGAAATCTCTGGAAGACAAATGAACAGAGACCCAATTGCCTCTATCCCAAAGAAGAGCTGTGCTGGGTCATGCCAAAGAAGGAAAGGGAGACGTGTAAACCCTCTTGTGATGAAGCATCAGGAGTTGCTGTTAGGCCACCACAGCTGGAAGAGGCTGCTCCTTGGCAACAGTGTGTTCTTCAGCCTCCTGCATCCCTGCTGTGGTCATTAAGGGAAGGCTGTAATTAGGAACACCAGAACTCAGCATCATCAGCAGGCTGAGAGCACCAACAGCCTGGGGGGCAGGCCTGCTCCCACACATCCTGTGGCTGTGAGGGATATACTTCCTGTCCTCCCTGCATTGAGGTGAGTTTTAAAATAACATAAAGGGTGACCATTCAGGGATTTAGCTGCTCTGGTGGGAAAGTAAAAGCAAATGAAGCATCCTGTTCTATCATCAGCTCAAAAAGTGTTCCAGAAAATGACTGAAAATTTATACTGAGGGGTCCATAGCTCCTGTGGTGAGGCTTTTTTTTTTTTTTTCAAAGAGGACTCTTATTTCTGCTTTTACAGAAGAACCTGCATCCTTCAATTTTGCTTTTTAAATTAATACTAACATAATAAGTGATGAGGACAAAATTACTTAAGAGTTGGACTGTGCATTTGTAATCCCTGCACAAGCAGAATCGATTTGATGTCACTTTAACATCACTTATGTGTTCCAGCCATAGTAATGTTATGAGTAATTTAATTTTAAAAAGAGGAGAACAATGCAGAAGAACCTTTATGTCCCATGAAAGGAAGGCTCTTCCCACTGTATAGCCCTGCTAACACAAAGGCAGGTTAATGAGAACTCTGCCTTGAGGGTTGGTTTGCTGATGAGCACAGGAGCAAGCCAAAGGTGAACTTTGCTGTTTCTTGATCAAGAGAAATGAATTAATCTTCAACCTCATAATTTATTCCATAGAACACAGAAATTTGTTGTAACTGTGTGCTCACTCTGTATTATGATGCAGCTTGCAGTGTCTGAAAAAATAACCCTCTGATACATGGATCTTCTTTTTCACCAATGTCAGGAAGACATTCAGCACTGGAGGGGGGTTATGTTTAACATTTGGGGCAGGTGTCTTTTGTTGGATGATTTTTTTCCAGAAGCATCAGTGAGTGCCACACCTGGCCTGTCATAGGTTATAGGTTTTGATAGGGCTGAGGAAAATTTCCTTAGACATGGGGAAGGTAGAGTTTGTGTTTGTGTTGAAATTATTTCGTTCACATAACTCACAGTATCTTGCATTTCTGTAACACCTTCTGTTTGAAGACCTCAGAGCTATAGGTAAATTAGTTCTGCAGCATAGAAATGCATAGGAGAAGATAACTATTTAATATTTATGTTTCACTTTTCAGTGGTGTTCGTTTCCACAGCTGAGTGGACTGCATGGCGAGAGCTGTCTGACTTGGTTGACACCACTGAAGTGCAAGGATGACTGGCATTGCCAACAGAAATGAAGTTTTCCAGCTCTCGAATCTAAAGAGAATTTGGTGAAAGGAAGATCAGGGCAATCTGCAGTCATCAGAATTTTTGGGGGACTTCTGCAAGTGCAGCAAATGGTATGTGTCTGATGCGTGGGATGATTATGATACCTAGGAGGGAGTAAAGAGAGGGAGCTGCAGCAGAAAGCAGATAATGTGAATGCTATTTAAGGGCAGATTACAGAATTACCCAATTTTTAGCTAAACTGCTTCAACCCAAGTGCTCCCTCATGAGATCTGTGTGGGGGTGGATCTTCAGTGCCTACCTCTCCCCCTTGGTGCAGGGAGGTAAGTGCCTGTGCCTGCTCTCCTTGGAGCCTGGAAGAGGTTAGGGCTCACCAGAAGGGATATGGGGGACAGGGGCTGTGTAAGGAATGCGAGAAGAACTTTATTTTACTCCGTTTTGCAGCAGGATTCACTTTAATGGCTGGGTGAAAGGAGAGCCGGGGCAGCTGAGGCCGCTCTGTGTGCATGCTGCCTTTGAAAACAGAGCACGTCACTGCTTCCAGCTTCTGTTTCATATTCTGCTGGGAGGTTCTGGCTGCAATGCTAATTCAAGCAAATCTCTGACAATTTAAGGGGGAGAGGTTTGTGCATAATATCTGTAGTATGACCTGTTTATACTAAGGAAATCATCATCATTAAAATAAAAGGACACAAGTAATTGCAAGTTTCTCCTTAACAAAAATATTCCGTTTAAATACAGGTAAACAGGAACAAAGTGGTCTTATTTTAGAGCTAGTCAGTGCATATTTTTATATCATCAGGAATCACTAATTGCACAGAAGCAACCTCAAGTTGCAACACCTTGTAATGCAGGCACAGAGCATCTTCATAATGAAAATGCAGTGCACTTTGAAGATACATGCATGAGTGCAAACAGGATGAGCACTGTAAGGGTTATGGAAGGTAGAGCAGCACAGGGGGAAAGTGTAAAGGAACACATTTGCAGTTGGAAATACTTTTCCTGCAGCACCAGTGTCCTTCCAGAATCTGAATTATTGCCCAGCCTTGAGAGGGGACAAAAAGGTTGGAGAGATTTAAAATTTCAGCCTGATGGCTGCCAATGGGGATGGACTAGATGCAACAAGAATATTTGACACACATGCAATGTCACCTGCTCTCCTGAGGACTGCAAATTCCACTATAAGGTCATGCATCTGACTTTCTGGCTTCATCCTTTTAGCACAGAGAAGGAGAACCACGACAGGCTGCCTCGTGTTACTCTGGAGTATTAATAGTGTTGTTGGCTGCCCAAACACTGCAGGGAAATGCCCAGCTTATTTCTTTAAATATATATTCACAGAATTCACAAAATGACTAGGTTGGACGAGACCTTAAAGGTCACCAAGTCCAACCCATGCCCCAACACCTCAACTAAACCATGGCACCAAGTGCCACATCCAGTCTTTTTTTTAAACATATCCAGGGATGGTGACTCCACCACCTCCCTGGGCAGACCATTCCAGAACTTTATGACTCTTACCATGCAAAACATTTTCCTAATATCCAACCTGTATTTCCCTTGATGCAGCTTGAGACTGTGTCCTGTGGTTCTGTCAGTGCTGCCTGGAGAAAGAGACCAACCCCACCTGACCCCAGCCACCTTTCAAGGAGTTGTAGAGGGTGATAAGGTCACCTCTGAGTCTCCTTTTCTCCAGGCTGAACACCCCCAGCTCCCTCAGCTGTTCCTCACAGGAATTGTGTTCCAAGCCCCTCACCAACCTAGCTGCCCTCCTCTGGATGCACTCAGGTTTATGTATCTGTCTGTGCATTTCCTTGTACCCTTCTTACATATCGTATGTACCAGGATAGTCAGGAGAGGAAGTTAAACAATAAACTCCATTTTTATTAAGATGAAATACTCTACATTGACCCTCACATGAAGGTCTAAGTTATTTTACTGTCACACATAAAACGAAGAGTGTGTAGCATGTTGATATGTAAATGTTTATGGTGTCAAGACAATTGCTGGTGTGTGATGGCCTTGTGTGTTTTGTTCCAGATCCAAAGTTCTGCAGCCATCCATCCCTACCAGTCAACAGCAAGTTCCTGCTCTTGTCAGAGTTAAAGGCAGGTTTTCCTTTGAACTTGGTTGGTATAAGAACTGACCCAGTGTGGAGCTGTGGGAAATAATTGACTGCAGAAGCATTTACTTCATTAATCTCTGAGCTGATTTGAACCAAATTACTCAGGTAATTGCAGCACGTTTTACTTACAGTTTTACAATCTTAATTACCATGAAAGCCTCCCATATCAGGAATGATATGTATTTAGGGAAAAGAGAAAAAGGCATTAGAGGTTTTCTACCATGTTCAGATAATACACACAGATAATAGACCAAAAAGTCAAACAGGCACTCCAAAAAATAGAAAATGTATTCAGCATTTGTCAATTCTGGTAGGCACTAGGGTAAACAAAGTAGATGTTCATTTTATATCAGTCCACTTTGTATTGCTGAGGCCCAAAGTTCTAAAAAGAAACTGAGACTGTTGTCTTGCTTTTCTTCAAAACTGATAATCTCTCTTCCTGTCTTGAAGATGAAGACAAAAAATTCAAGGGATGAAGAATCATCTCTTGAAATTTTGCATCTTGTTCATTTATTATGTCTTGTCTTCTCTATGTTCTTTCTTCAGTAATTTCCATTGCCTGCTTTTATGCCACTTGGCAAACCCCAAGGTGATAAATTACCAAGTCCTCAGTAGAGAGAGCAATCTCCAGTGTCTTTGCCTTGTGACACTTTTGTGGGATGCCTTATCTTTCCTTTTGCATATACATGAAGGGTATCTGAATGTGTTTGATGGGAAAGGAGAAATGGCAGAACCATTTACAAACTCTGTTTAAAATCTTTAAGTGAAACCTGAATCTTTCTTGGGTTTGTGGTCACTTCCTTTTTATGAGTGAATCAGGCTTATGCCCTGTTGTTATTTGGAATTCTACTGTACTTATGTTCTTTAATTTTTCCCCAGTGTAATCTCTGATCCCATCACCAAAAGGAATGATTGTAGTCTTACAGCAGCTTGGAGAGATTTATAGACCTCATTTTGCAGCTTAAGATGCTGAGGCTCAAAAAGGCCACATCATTGATTTAAGTTACAACGGAAGAATGGAGCAAAACTATGAATTAAATTGGGATCATCCAAGTCCTGTATTAACACTTTCACCCTAAAGCTGTTCTGTTGTGAAGGAAAGAACAATATCTCACGCATGTAACATATCTTTTCTGTATGACCATTTAGAAGAGGACCACCTTATGAATATGATTAACTATATTATCTACTGTATGATCTTAGGGAGGAAATATCTAGAAAGATTATTATCATTTAGATAAGATTAAAAACTTCAGCTTTTTAAAGTCATCAATAGAGGCTGATGGCCAAAATAACTGGCTGGCTGCAGGTATTGCTGTGCAGAAATCCTCCTATATATCCTAGTGAAAAATTAAATGTTGGGACTGGGAAACTGTATATTTCGGGAAAGAATAGGTAATGGCATGGTCATAGTGAAAAGTTTGGTGGAACAAAAGAAGGAAACATTCTCAAGCTTTCCAGGATTTTGAACTTCAGAATTAAAAAGCCAAGCCAAACCAGAGGGAAAAAAAAATCCAAAATCTGCGGTAACTTCAGAAGGTTGATGGGACAAGCACTTCAAGACACACTTCAGTTAGACACAGACTTACAGGGTTCTGAAGATTAGGATAAAAAGGGAGCAAAGTGGATTCTACAGTCACCTGTAATTCTGTTCATAACAAAGAAAGAAGAGAGTTTTTTTAGGAGGATCTAGAGCTGTTTCTAAGAAAATAGAAATATGACAGTCATTACATGTTAGCACTGCTTCTGTAGTTCTGCAAATGCAACTGCAGGAACAAAGGGTTGGGAAAAGCAATCCCTACAGCCCCACCGTGGTTTTTATCACCCTTTGCACCACTGCAGTTATGTGCTGGGACACACTCCAATGCACAATGAAATCACCTAACCTAGGAATCAACTTTCTGAGGAGTTTTTCTTGTTTTCAACCTGAATAATTCAGCAGGTTGATTTTGCATGGGAATGGACAGGGACTGGTGATTCTTGCACGTACTTTTGCTACTACAGACAATGGGCCATGGGGTAAGGATTGCAGTGCTATGTGCAGTGACACAGAGCTGTACCCTCCCACTGGGGCCATTAGGAAAGACCACAGGAAGTGGCTCATGGGCTTGCCTGAATCAGCATTTTCTGTTCTCAGTTCTCTGAGATGGACTAGTGCCCTAAGGGCACTATATAAATAGGCCTGGGGTTGCTAAATATGTATCCCATATATTTGGATTTACTTTACTTTTGAGTAGTAAATACCCAAAAATCTGTGAACAGACTACTGTAAACATAAACACCAGATAAAACATTGTCAGGAAGATTGGGAAACAAACAGGCACAACAATATCCATTTCAAGTATGTGCTGAGGAGGAGTTTACTCTTTCAAGGTATCAAATTTTTGGTATCAAATAGAATTTGTGCCTTAAAGAGACACACAGCATTCCTGCTCTTGTTTCCTGGATATTTTCAAGGCATGGAAAGGAACAGTTTTGTGAGGACTTGCAGAGATTACTGGAGACTGACTTTCCAGGGGAATGGTATGGCTGTACCATGCAGTCCTTTTTATCTCTTCTGAAGATGCCTGCAGTTAGGCAGAGTGCAGCTTGGATTTTGGCATTTTTTTATGGATCAACATACACCTCATTTTGTTAAGCATTCAAGATACAGCAGTGTAAGATTAATGTTGAACCTGTCACCTACAAGTGACCCAATCTGCTGCCAATGCATCATTCATGACAGCAAACAAGGTATTTGGGGGATAAAGAACCCCCATATAAAGACATGAGAGAAGACAGCCTGTATGATTTTTAAAATTTAGGCTGAGATTCCTTTCTGGCTCAGTACATTTGCTGCATATTGATTTTCCTGGAGTTATATAAGGCGTAAAGCCCAGCCCTTTGTTACGGAAAGCAGCACAGCTGTTTCCAGGACCATGAGTTGTGTGTGACTCTCTTTTTAGCTTCCCACTGGCTTTTTAAAAATACACTTTCAATCAGTTTTGCTTTTCAATACCAAAGAGAAAAAGCAGCAAGTTTTCCTGAGAACTGAAGATCTGGGCAAAACATTAAGTCTTCATATGCTAAGAAAGTTGTGCTGAGAAGTTGTGTTAAACTCTGATACTGACCTGATGTTATAGAATATGGGAGATGTACATCTGATTATATACATCTAAAGTTCATGTTGAAGGTACTAGAATGGTCTTATTTAAGCAACAGAGAAAGAAATTAATGTTAGCAGCAGTGGGAAACATTCAGAAACACAGGCTACACTCCCACTTTTTGGGAATTGTGTTCATTTCTAGTCAATTAAATATTAAGGTCTATGAAAGTGGGTAAACCAAAAAAATATTAAACACAGGTAGAGGGTGCAACTGAAATTCTCGTTGAAGTACCTTGTGTAATCTCAGCTGGATCAGCAAAACAACCACTGATGACCAAGCCCCGCTTTTCCTTGGCCTCTCTGTGGTGTTTCAGAACAGTAGCAACCTGATCTCCATGTACTTGCTTTTGAACCTTGTTTCTATGTCAGGGATCTAGCCTGGGCCAGCTGTGCCTCCAAAGGGAGCTCTGTGCTCTCCTGAAGTAACATCCTCTCATTCCTCTCCTGGGTCTCTGCCATGATCCCAAGGAGGAGCAGTTGGGCACGAGAGTATTGTCCCATTTGTGATCCCAGCACCTCCCAGCTGATCCGGACCTCTGCACTACACACTGAGTGTGGAGAATCCCTGCCAACTGCCCCAAGACACCTGGCAATCCATGCCACGCCCAGGAAATTTCAGGAGGTAAGTTTTAGGGGTTGAAGTTCAGCCTATTTACCATCAGGCTTATCAAGTCAGGAATTTATGGCACCTCTCCTCAATCCAGTTCAGTCTTATGGATTTAAAGAAGGCACTGCAGTGCTTTGGGTGGCTTCCCACATGTGCTTCCAGCAAGCAGGTACTGGACTTGCCTCAGGAGCAATACTGGGAATCAGGTAACCTGTGTAAAGCACTCTGAAGAGTAAGAGCACCCCAGTTTTGGAAAAATTACTTCATGGAAAGGCTGATCAAGTGCTGGAACAGGCTGCCCAGGGAAGTGGTGTAGTCACTGTCCCAGTGGAAAGTTCAGAACACATGTGAATGTGGCACTTGGGGACACTAGTTAGTGATGGCCTTGTGCTGCGGGAATGACAATCTTAAAAGAACTTTTCAGCCTGAAGGATTCTGTGAGTCTAAGTTCTGGGTCTGTGTGGGATGCTGGCTTTAGATGAATTCACATTACTGATTAGATGATATACACATTTCATATCCTATTACATTTCTGTGATAAATTTATAAACTCTGTATATTTGCACTCATCTCCTCTAAGGCTTTTGGTCTGTTTTCTGAGCTGAGAAGCAACAAGCAACCTACTGGCTGCTGTAGGCAGCAGTATAAAATTAAAAATAAAAATAAATATATAAATATAATATAAATATAAAAATACAGTGAGAGTTAATGAACAAAACCTCCAAACATTTCTAGAGTTTTATGCACCTCACACACTTGCATAAATTTCAACAAGAGACTTGTTTTTAATAAAAACAATGGCAGAGGCATGACAATACAAGAAAGTTGAGACATAATTAGACAGTTTCTGTATATATTACAAACCTCTCTGCTTTGTTTCAAAGCTTTTCACTTTTGTGTTAGAAATCTAGCAAGAAACTCAAAAATCTGATGCAAGGTTTTTAAGATGGATTTTTCCAAGGCAAAAATCAGTGGACCAGCTTCACACCAGCACAGTTTAGGTAAACTCATGCATTTAAGAAGACAGTCAATTTGTAGCAGTGCACCCAGAAATACACACAGGAACAAAAATATAATTTCTCTTTATCTCTGTATATGTGTGTGTGTGTGTGTGTGTGTGTGTGTGTGTGTGTGTGTGTGTGTATTTACACATATATACCCATATGTCCAAATTATATGCAAGCCCAAACCAGGACACTGTGAGCTGTACAGAGACATAGATTAGTGCATAGGTGAGAGGTATATCCAGGTTCCCTCCCTTGGGGAGGGAGTAGCCACCAGCACAAGTCAGGGCAGGATCAAGTCCTGGCTCTGCTTTTTATAAAGCAGTGCTGCTTCTTAGCAACTATTTTCTGCCTGGATGAAAGCAGGAACCTTGCAAATCATAAACAAATATTTAGGTCCAGGAAGAGGCCAAGTTAAACACAGTATTCTTTACCCTAACTCTGTCTGCTCCTCCTTTTTCATGGTAAAAATTTCCGTGAAAAATAAGAGGGAGTGTAGGATGCACAGCCCTAAAGGAGGGATTTAAAAATAAATAAATAGGAAATAATAGGATGCACAGGAAGAGTTCAGACACTATAGGAAACAAATAAGATCTGGAGAGGAGGTAAAAATATTTTAATTCAGTCTTTTAGAGCCAAAATTTAAGTTGATTTAAATTTTTCCTTTTTTTCTTCCACGGGTGGAAATACAAATACATGTTATTTCTTCACTTAATGTGGAATGGAGAGGCCTAGGATATATTTTTCAATATATCTGTATTATATATAAAAATTTATTTCCTAATATATCTCTATAAGGATATATTTCAATATTTTATTTACTGGTATTTTTGTTCTTGTCAATCAGATGTTCTCATGTACTGCAATGTCATTAATGCCCAAGGATGAGCTTCTAACAGAGCCACAGCTAGCAGCATGGAGTCTTGCACTTGCTCACTGGCATACCATGTGCTGCCTGGGAAATTAATTAAAGCCAAATTTCCAGAGATCGTTGTATCCCTAGAAATGCAGTTGGCACTCAGACATCACATTTTCAAAGGAAAATCTAGTGAAAAGAAAATGAGGTGCCTAAATCTCAGTACAAGTGGATGCTGAATCTGTGAAGTTACTTTTGAAAATCCCATTAGGCATCTAAGTGACATCCCCGTCTGTTTGTAGGGTAAATTCCTAGGGACTGATGTCTTTCTGTGGATCTCTCTATATTTTTTGAGTGCAATATACCTCATCATGGCCCAGTATCCATGGAATGTAGCATAAATTCTCCCCAAATGATGAACAAGACAGTCAAACCCCACTGTTTGCATATCTTGATCTGGAAATTTTAGGACAAAGAGACTGAACTCTGTGCCTTTTACAACAAAAAAGGCTGATGGAAATTTGTGGAAAATAGATCCCTTTCATAAGCACCTGAAGCTTTTCCTTTTGTTCAAGGCTTAAATACTTTCAAACACCTGGTATTAAGGATTTCATTGTAAATAAATCAACTTTGGGTACTAAAATTTTGGCTTTGCTTTGAAAACTCCATCAATAGAATCACAAAATCCCCAGCTGCTTTGGGTTGGAAGGGATCTTAAAGATCACCTTACCCAACTCCACTGCCATGGGTAGGAACACATTCCACTATCTCAAATTGCTCCAAGCCCCATCCAGCCTGGCCTTGGACACTTCCAGGGATCCAGGAGCAGCCACAGCTTCTCTGGGCACCCTGTGCTGAGGCCTCACCAACCTCACAGAAGAGAACAGGGAATAGATTAGTTTGCTGTACAATTCTAGTAACAAGAACGAAAAGATAAATTGTCTTTTTATTTCCCTTTATGTGCCTCAGGGATGATTTCCCTTAAGGTTTGATCACAGGTAACCTACACATGATGAGCCCAGTGATGTGAGGTGCCCAGACATCCTAACTCCCAAAGCAGGAGGAGCTCAGCAGAGCTGGCCTTGCAGCAATCCATGAGCTGGAAGATGAGATCAGGTAACTGAATCCTCAGATCTTCCCGATGCTCTCTGACCCTGCCCATTCCCCAGCAGGTTTGTGTGTCTGATTACCTCTGCACAGTCTTGTTCATGCAAAGTAAACACAACCAGGTTGGTTTCTCCTGCTACAGCTAGAACAGGAAGAAGGAAACAGCAAAGGTACCTGGCAAATAGACAAGAACAAAATGGGAAATTTTGCAGAGAAGCTTTTGGAAATCGCTGAATCTTTAGGATCTGGGTGATGATTTTCCTGTAAAACAGCAGGGGACGGAAAACATTTGGAATTCTTAATAGAATGATGGTGCTTTTTAACTTCCACTAAGAACAGAGTGACACACTCATATGTTTAAGGCATTTTTGCTGTAGCATTTCTAACTTTACAATTATCCTGCTCTGACCCTGAGGGCTGCTCTTGTACAAACCCATGTTGACATAGTCACTAATCTTTGGAGGGCTTTGAGCAGGGAAAGGATCTGTAAGATGGAGGCATGTCTGCAGAAAGCAGTCTGCGGACATGATGCCATCAGAAGCAATAAGCAATACAAAAACACACTATATTTGCTGTTTATCTTCCTGTTTTGAACTCATTATATCAAATATTGTAAAAACATTAATGAATTTGTGCTGTTACTTTTAAGTTAAGGTGGTTTTGTCACTAAATATCAAATGGGCTTTGATTAGAGGCAGTTCAGTGCTATCAGTTCCATTTAGGAGACATGGAAGACTGCCCGACTTCACGATGATGCTCCTGATACCACTGCCCCTAAAAGATAAATTAAACTCCTAAAAAGTACCTTTTAAAATAATTCTGGTTCAAAGAGAAGCATCAGTTTTCTGGGAAATATCTCTTCAGGGAGAAATCACACTGTTGTGTGAAAGGGAGGGAGGGTGTCTGCACTGCTGACGGTGACAGCAGCTTTCCGTTTCATAAGGTTTCCCACCATGAGATTGATGCTATCCTTGAGTCTGAAAATGGCTGGCAAAAGACTTCTGGCTGACTGGAGGAAACTGTCACACAAATGCCTGTGGGAAGATGCTGTAGTCACTCAGGCATAGTAAGTCCCTCTCTAAGACAACTGATCCTTGGCATGTGCAAACAGAGCAAACTCAAGCATAATTATGCTCAGAGTGAAAAATGGAAATCGTATCAATTAACTTTGGCTGCATTTTCATCAATGTTTATCAAGGGAAATTATTCCCTGGTGAAAGATAACATCAAGTACAGGGTGTTCAGGAGATCACCACCAAAGCTGAATATTTATGAAAATTTAATGGGGCTTGTAGATTATAACTGGTGTCTTTCAAGGCTGACTACCATGGAATACACAGGGAAGTCATGTGATGGGAAATGAAGTGTACAACCCCAGTCCATGTGAGCTGATGGAGGCCACATGGCAAAATTTAATGTCAGTCTTCTTGTGTGTGATACTCTAATTGCAATTAGTAACTCTGTGTACAGCAAGTACACTTCCATGCTCATTAACTCCTGGGCAAATTCTTCCTGAGAACAAATGCAAAACTAAAATATTCTCCTAAGCCCTAAAAGCATCAGAATAGCAGGATCTTGACCTTCAGTGTGGTGACAGGCTGAGGGGGAGCCACCCTCGACTGCCAAAATCCAACTGAGCTGCTCTGCCTCGTATGTAAGGGGCATTGTGCAGCCCAAAAGCTGAGCTTCATGGAAGCTGCTTAACCTGGATCATCTCACCCTTCCCAGTCAGGGTTTGATGTTTAAATGCTCACCTACATGCTGCTTACCAGTGGGTCCATAGGCCACAGCCCAGCCACTCCAGACTCAGACTGTGAAACCTAAATTTTATGCTGGGCTGGGAGGAAGAGCAAGATCTTCCTCACATCAATAACCTTCATTTAAACTTCACAAAGTGCTAATAAACCTTGCCCCATCTTCCACAGAGGAGATGGCTATCAATCTGATCCCATGAGTGCTGTTATCTCAGGGATGTGAAGTAACTTGCCCAGCTGAACTGAATCCATGGTTTAATCAGTAAGTAACATCCTCAACATGAGAAGATGTTAGTTTTAAATATTAACACTTCACTATATGAAAACCTGTCTCCAGCTGAAAAATAGGTTGTTTAATGAGGGAATAAATACAAGGAATACCTTTGAAATGCAAAACTGCTTTTGGTTGTAGCAGAGTAAATATTAAAAGTGCTTCTGATGGATAAAACTCAGATGTTCCCTGCACAAATCTGGATGCACAGTGGTTGATGTGCTCAATACAACACAGACAAAATGGAATGTAAAATAATAATCCATCAGATTCCTCCAGAAAGGTACTCTGGCCCCTCACTCCAATTCTGTTTGTCTTTTTACAAATGTCATCTTATTTCTTTGCAGTCCATTCATACTGGAAGACAAGCTGGTTTATGCAAGTGAATTAGTTTGGTTTGATTTGACAGTGTCATCTTTCCTCAGGTTAGTGAGGAGTTATTTCTGTAACATTTCAAAGTTGAAATTTATATTTTAATGTGGCAGTAGTATTTGACATACAGCAAGGTGGTAAAATAGGGCCTAGAAAATGTCAGCTATTATGAGCAATGCTTTATGGAAAGGGATTATTCACTTGTTTGTTTCATTCCAGTATTTACAGTTTGAAATGTCACCACTGTGAGGTTTAACTACCTCTCTCATAATTTAGATAATTTTACTTTTTTCAGAATTTGCTCTTATTTCATAGTGATAACAAATAGTGGCACTTTTATAAACAGCCATTATCTCTTTCCCTCTACAGATAATTTACATTGAGAAAACTATATGGATAATTTGAAAGTAGGGGAATGTGGTTTCAGATGTTTCATGTTAAGTCTTCCTTTATCCCTCTTTATCCTTTCAGAGTTCATTTGGGGTCCTTGGCCACCTTAGGCTGTGTCTAAAGAGCCACGGCAGAAGCTCTGACAGCAGTGTTGGGTTGGCCACTGTTCTCCTGGGAAGGGGGAAAAGACACAGCCCAGCTGGGGAGCACAAGTGCAGCCCTTGGCTCCTCCACACACGACATCCATGGGCACAAAAATCACTGCCAGCCGTAGGCAAAGGGGGGAACTCTGAGCACTTTGTCCTTGCTTCAGGTTTGGCTGAGATTGGGCTGATGAGGGATGGGCAGCAGCAAATCTTCCCTTGTCACTGCTGCTCTCCACAACCTCCTGGCAATGTCACAGAATCACAGAATGGTTTGAGTGCGAAGGGACCTTAAAGACCATCCAGTGCCACCCCCTGCCATGGGCAGGGATGCTTTCCTCTAGCCCAGGGTGCTCCAAGCCCCATTAACCTGGCCTTGAACACTTCCAGGGATAGGGCAGCCACAGCTTCTCTGGGCACCCTTTGCCAGGGTCTCACCAAACTCAGAGGGAAGAATTCCTTCCTAATATCCAATCTACGTTGTTCAGTTTAAAGTCATTATCCCTCATTCTATCACTACCTGCCTCTGGAAAATTGAGATAAAAGTTCATATATAAAAATACATACAGCTGTAAAACCTGGTAGAGACCTTAAATCATAATCTTGGTACTCACATTCTACAGGAAGTGGTAAATGCACTGTTGCAGTGGGTGGCAGACAGACCAGACAACAATTACACTCAAAAAAAAAATCACATTAACCAGGCTCAGGATGGTTGCTGGGGATTCAGTGGGCGACTGAATCTGGCTCCAGTGGGCTGTAGACTGCAAATATAGAACATTGCATGACCTTAACTTTGCTTTCTAAAAGAGGCAGCTGATACTGAGACTTACATAAAGAGATACAAGAATTTTTTGTTCAACATGGTAGATAGATGCCCTGTGGCAAACATATATTAAAGAAGTAGAAAGTAATTAAGGTTACTTAATGCTGGGAAACTGAACATTGCTTGGGTTATTTTGTCATTCCTAATGTATTAATCAAATCAATCTCAGCTATGTTTCCTTACTCACTGTCTTTATTAACAGTGCCTCATTTGCCCTTTCTTCTAAAATTAGTGTTTATATTCCATGATTAATGTATTTTTTGTTTTGATGAAGAACCTCAGTGTTGAAATGAACATGGGATTTTTTTTTTCTCTCTTTGTAGTTCCCACTTATGGAAACTGTCCCACCAAAAAGCAGCTGGGCTTTAACATTCAGTACACTTTTTCACTTGCAAAACCAGATCAATTAAACAGACAAAGCATTTAATGTGGCTGGAAGCCCAGCTACTTTATTTTCAGTAGGGAGGTTACTCATCTTTAAGTAGAATTCCAGGTTGCCCAGACATGCTGTGGCTGTTCCTGGATACCTGGAAGTGTCCAAAGCCAAGTTGATTTGGGCTTGGAGCCACCTGGGATAGTGGAAGGTGTCCCTGCCCATGGCAGGGGGTAAAATTACATGACCTTCCAAGATAAACCAGATGAGATCATAATTGCAAATATGAAAGGAAAAAGATGAAAATGCTGGGCTGAATATATGTCCTTATGTTCATAAACACAGCACTGTCTCTATCTTGTGAAACATCTCTGCTTTGTGTCTTGGATTTAACCTGAGGCTGTAACAGCTACTCTGGTTTTACATCATTCATCAGATTTCATCTGAAAGCAGTTTTATCAGTTTATCTCTGCTGACTTCACTGGAATTATGTCCTTATCTCTCTCCTTCTCTCTAATAAGAGATTCCTGAATTTTCATTCTCTCTTTAAGCAGTGAAAGAAATACCTTATTCTCTCTATTCATATAAGCAGAGTCTCACTCTTCTAGGTCCAAATTCAGTTTTCGAAGTCAACACAATGTTTTAAATTCATTTCTATAGGAACTAATCAGACTTCCATAGCACAATCTAAGTTGAGTATCACCTCATATTTGGGAAGTGACCGCCTCATATTTGAGGTGATCACCACAAATTTTTGGGAGATGTCATGCATTTGGGCAGTTTGAAAGGTGAAGTTGAAATAAACCAGATTTAGTAGGTGGAGTAACAGCTTCTTACTCAAATTCAATTAAAATAATTTCACATGAGAACAATCCAGCTCCAAATGATATGCAGGACATTTCGAAAAGTTAATGATACACAGTCAGATCTCACATGACACCATGAGAAAGGTGGGGGGGGGGAAGGAAAGATAAAAAAGTTGTAAATATTTTAATGACTGTAGCTGTTGAAGATTTAAGAAACATTATCTGTTAGCACAGTCAGTTGGGAGCATTCTCTTTAGTGAATGAGTGATATTTTCTGGATGTGCTTCTCTGAAGAAATTCTGCCTCTATGTCTCTCCAGGAAATATTGGATAGCTTATGAATTTATGAGGCAGCAGTAATTAATTGGAGACACTTAAACCCAAGAAATCCCTGGTGTGAGATAAGGGTTATTCAATTTTTAAAAAAAATCTTGGTAGGCTTTACATCCCTCTTGGGTGATGGAAATTATTCATGACACTACATTTAAGAAACTGAGAGCTTATATGAATATGTGAAAGTGACACTAACCTCCTGAGACCAAACTCATAAGTATAAATTGAAAAATAAACTACTATAGTGTGTAAAGAATGAGTGGTGAAGCATTATTGTATGTGAAGTATTTTCTGATCACTGACTACCATGAAAAGAATTACTTAAGTCACTATAGCTCCACGGAACCCAGAGAAATATAAAAATGTAAGGGTTCTCATTATGTCTTGTGGCATAATTTCTGGAATATTTTCTTTTTGCATGACCCATTTTCAAATCCATATCCATTTTTATAATGACAGTGATGAAAAGATAACTAACACAGAGATGAAAATATTTCTGAAGCAAGAAGGATGTTATGTGGTACACATAATTTCATTCCCATGGTCAGATGAGTGAGGTATCTAATTATTAATGGCATTTTATGTTGATAAAACAGATCTAATACACATTGGGTTACAAAATTTTTAGTTGAGTCCAGGTTATTTTATATTGATGAAGCAATATAAACTTGCTAGATCTTTCTATCAGAGAAAAAGGATTCTACCCTATTATGGCAACATTTCTTTTCATCCTTTGAGTGTGTTGAGGAGGTTACATTACAAGACAGCAACTCTGGGTAAACTTGAGCATATTTTATACACAAGGAGTATTAGGGCAAGTGACTCCACCTGAAGATAAAGAGAACTAAAAGTACCTTTTGTCTGACATAGGTCTCTTCACTTTCTTGTGGCAGAGCAGGTCTTTTCTAGGCAAGGCTGTGTGGGTTAATTGCCTGTGATCAGCTGTGCTTCTATTTTTAAGTTCCAAAACTTGTAAGTACAATATTTTTCTTGTTTCTCACCACATGCACACTAACAGGGCTGGGAGACCTCATGACTCTCATGACAGCACAATTTAAGAGAGGTATTTGTATTTGGAAAGACATGCTAAGTCCTTATCCTGTGAACTTCCTCAAGATTGTTTAAGAATAATGAACCAGAGCAAAACCAATTCAGCAAGATATTTAACAGAAAAACATTGCCCAGTAGAACATAATGAACTGGACAAAGGAGTTTGAAATTTAACTTGAACAATTAGCTTAAAGATATTTACCTAGTGTCAAGGTTTCATAATGTTTTCACTCCAAGGATAGTTAATCTGTAATGTAAATACTATCCATGTATTTGGGAAATAGCAGACCTGATTGAGAACTGTGTATCCAATAGTCAGTACAGTGTACTAAGCCTGCTCTATTTACTCTGCTTTATTCAGCAGCAAATGTCAAGTAAGTAATTTTTTTTCTGAAGTAAAAAAAATTTCTTCTGAAGTAAAAAAGTTTCTTCTACAAAGGTCCATAATTTTTAGCTGGTTTGGAAATTCTTGTACAGTATCATGAAGATTTTTGTAATTTTGACTTGTAAAACAGTAGAATCACAGATCAGCATTAGTGCTACAACCTGAAGTTGTTGTGGGCAGACATGCAGAACACAATGATTTAATTCTATGTTTCATTCAGTGGTAAAGAATCATTGGTTTGAAGGATGACATTTTATTATTTTCATCTATAAACTTCTCAGTGCACACTCAGGTTTGGAATGGGCTAAAAACCATATCATTTGGGCTGGCAGATAGATGTGGTTTCTGTTCTGTTCCAGACAGACAAGGATTTCTTCTCCAAAAGGTTCAATAGAAAGGACAAGGGTTGAAGAGATTTGAAGACTGATCTCTTCCTGTCTCCCCACAGCCCTTCAATGTGCTTCTTACATCAAGGTTTGGCTGAGAGGCTGACAGGCAGCTCTCAGTGAGTCCTGAGAAATTCCTGTCCAGTTCTAGCAAGGCAGCCTCATTTGTACAATCACAGAATAACAAGATTGTTTGGGCTGGAGGGGACATCAAAGCCAATCCACTCCCATCCCTTGCCATGGGCAGGGACACCTTCCACTATCCCAGGTGGCTCCAAGCCCTGTCCAACCTGGCCTTGGACACTTCCAGGGATCCAGGGGCAGCCACAGCTGCTCTGGGCACCCTGTGCCAGGGCCTGCCC